AAATCACCACAGCAACTGGCTTCTACAAATTTGCTGTCAACCGAGTGACTTACCCCTCACAAAATGTGCATTGTGGAGTGAAAATTGAAGGCTTCTATTCTCCACCTACCTCAGCGTCTGCTAGCCCGGCACCGAACAGTCCTCTCACTCTCCGCAGCATTACTGGCTCACTGTTATCCATGTTCACGGGAGTTTTAGCGATTGCCCAACGCCATAAACAGTGCATTGTTATTACTGTAATCTCTCCCAGAGCTAAAGGATCTGACAGGCGGACATTATTTTGGTTTTAAATACAGGCGTTCAAAAAGGGAAGGAAAAAAAAAAAAAAGAACTGCCAGCCATTCTAACACTGTGCAGCTTGAAAGCTCTCGATGGCTGGAGCAGTGTCAGTGAGCAAAAAATAGGCTTTGCGCTGGACTGGAGGAGTCAGCAAATATTTTAAATTGGAACCGGGGCTCTATTTCTGACAGGAGCGTCCGGGAGTTTGTGCTTTGCTGCACAGCAGCTTTATTTTTGGAGAAGGCCGCTCAGAGTGCGGGGGGTGGACTAGCATCGTCCAAAGCTGAGAACGCCTTCTAAGAATGTGGGTTTTCCAAGTGCTACATCCCAGATTAGCACAGTCACCAGGATATCTGGCAGCATTAGAAATGAAAAGAGCATCTGACCGTTCACATAATGTAACATGAGCACAAGCCCTTTATTTGCTTGGGAGAGACAGCATGGTCCAATGGGTACAGCACCAGGCTGGCAGCCAAAAAGCCCCGGGTTGTCACTCTGCCAATCTATGGGGTGCCCTGGAGCAAGTTACTTCACCTCTTCGGGCGTCTGTTTTCCTTCCCACACTTTGGTCCGTCTTCTCTATTTCGTTCATACGCTCTTCAGGGCAGAGACGGTCGCTCGCCGTGTGCTTATACAGTGCCTGATACAATGGGGCCCCGATCTCTACTGGAGCCACTAAGCTATGGCCCAGAGGGTCCATTTTTCAAAAGCATCAGTGGGATTCTGGGTAAAAAACGTTAAAGCAGCTAATTGACTTGAGTGCCTAAATCCCCTTTAGAAAGGGAGATTTAGGCACTTCGCAGCCAAAGTCACATAGGCACTTTTGAAAGTTTCACCCAGGTACTTTTCATCAATGATTCTCAAAGCCTGTTACAAAAAGGAAATCCAGTCTCATTATCCCCATTTTACAGAAGGGGAAACTGAGGCACAAGAAAGGGAAGCAGTTCACCGCAGGTCACAGAATCCATATCTCCTGACTCCCCATGCAGCACCCTATCCATTAGGCTATGCTGCTTGAGGACTCCCTCAGCCACTCTTCACCAGAGAATCACAGGCACTGCGTTTTATAGAACACTACAGGAAAATATCCCTAAAGATGCTACATATACAACAACACGGAGCCCTGCATAGAACCCTTCTTCTGACTATCTGTTTTCAAAGCACTCTGCTCCAATGTGGATACATTTCAGGTTCTATAAAAACAAGCTCTTATGAAACCAGAGCCCAACAAAAACGGTCCCATGATTTGTGTACAATTTCTAGTAGCCAACTCATCACAAAACAGACAAACAGCCCCCTGCATTGTTTACATCCCAGGTATTAAAGCCCCACCAGCTTATCAACTAAAGCTAAACTGATTTCATTAACTGCTATTGTCCAAGCAGAGAGAAAAGGAGGACGAAAAACCACCACCAATTGCGAAAAGCCAACTGGGATTTGTACAATCCTCTCTCTGGTTTAACAGTCCAGGTCTTTCCTTCCCCCCCCCTAACCTGCAGCTCCCAATTCATTCCCACAAGCCCACGCAAAAGTCAAACTCGATAGACTCCGCTGTGCATTTCCTGCACAGCTCATCTCAATGCTACCCAAACCAACTGCCGCGGCATGAGAAAACAAATAACCCTTGGCAATGAAACAGGATCAGAACCAAGGAAAAAGGAGAATTGGGATCAAAAAGCAATTTAAATAAATGCTGCGCACCACACTGGTATTTCTGACGGTGGGAGCAAGAAGAACCTGGCTTGTCTCTTTCCAAGAGGATTGGAGACAGCAAAGGGGCTGTGAAGAACAGTGTTAAGCAGTGAGAAAGTTTGCTCTTCTGGGCGTGGAGCAGACACATATTTGCTCACCATCTTAGCAACCATGCAGAGGCCTTGAAATGCCCAGGATGGGGTGTGGAAGGTACTTCCCCCTCCCTTCTGCAGACACTGTAAAAGGGGTTTTCAATGAGTTCCTTAGACAAAAAGAATTTTTGTGCAAGTTCCAGTTACCACAGAAACAACCAACCAACCAACCTGGCAGCTCCGTCCCAGGAACAGACTTCACCGGTGCAGCTGCTGCATCTAGGGCAGTAATGCCCAAAAATCGATGAACTATTGATAAACCACCTACGTTCTACATAAAACAGCAAGGCCCAATCCTGAAGTCAAACCACTGGGCCAGATTCTGCCCTTTTAATAGCAATATGAATCTGGAGTAACTCTACAAACAAACACTCTACAAACAAACACCCTCCCCCCCCCGTTTGCACTCTCTCTTTAGACCCATTGGAGTCAAGGAAATCTTTTGCTGGAGAAAGGATTATGTGAAAGCTGAACTAGGACCTCGGGATTTGCTCGGAGCTGCCAAAACCAGGAAGAGCATTCACTGCTTATCTATATTCATTGGATTATCAGATTTGCAATCATTGGGAATCGACATCAAGCTGTTCACTTGGTGCTGGGCGGCGTGTACGTTGCTGAACGCTCCCAGGAACGGACCCTGTGTGAGCAAGTGCTCATTGACCTGTGAGATCGGCAGAGCCCAGCCCCAAGTGACGAACTTGTCAGTTTCCTGCAGTCATAAATCTCCCCATACTCCAGTGGATAGGAATAAGCATGTGCGCTCTTGCCGTTAACAGACAGAGCCAGCGCTAGGATGGGAGGCTCACAGTCATAACTGGCTCGCTGCCCACTTCGGTGGGCTGCCAGGCTGCCATGGGTTTCTCAAGCAAAGAGAGAATTACATTAGAAAAGGTCGACACTCTTCTGGGATCACACCCCTCAGGCCTGGTTTTCAGGTGCTGAGCACCTGTAACGCCTATGACTTCAACTACAGCTGTGGGGGCTCAGCACCTCTGAAAAAAGTCAGACCCAGGGAGTCTGGCTCTCCTCTGCCATGCAGGTGCAATGCCCCTCAATTGCAGTTTGACCCAGAGACTTTACTCACTGAACCCACTAAGGCAGGAATCCTTCGGGTGTGCCACAATCAAGGCTAGATTAATGGGAGTCTCTGCTCTCTCTTACCTCAGTGGAACTCTAGATCCACTGGGCCAAATTCTCTGCTGGTATAAACTGGCGTAGCCCCATGGCACAACTCCAAAGGCAGGCAAATTTACACCAGAGTATTTGACCCACGGAGCTCAGTAAAGCAGCTGCCAATTTACAGCGCTGTTGCCGAGCGCAGAAACTGTACATAAACGAGGGGAAATATCCCAGTTAAATATCAACCAGACAAGAGTGAGGAAGTTCTAGGATCCAACTGCAAACTTAACTCCACCCTTGAATCCCGTTCTTCTCTGCATTTACAGGGGAGATCCTCACAAGCTCAAGTCTGCCCTGGCGGCTATTTTAATTGCAACATTACGATCTTTCAGTATACAAGATTATAACCTGAAGTCACCTTCCCAGCCTGTATCAGGTACAGAGGGGTCTCCAGTCCACTGCAGCCAGCAGCGTGAGGTGCAGGTGGACATCTGGCTTGTTTGGAGGCTGGTGTTTCTGAACTATACCAGGTGAACAGGTTACGGGCAGTCCCTGGTCCAGCAGAGGAGTAGGTGGGAGAAGGGTGAGTGTGGTCCATAAACGTAGCAAGATATTAAGGTACCCGATCCATAGTAAGCAACTCAACTGGAGCTCTACCTCCATCTTGTAGCTGGGGGGTGAATTTTCCCCGCTCCTCTGAATAGGGATGATGGGGAAAGAGGGACTTCAGGCAGGAGAGAAGAATCTTCTCTTCTCATCAGCAGTTGAGGGAGAAGGGACTTGAGAAGCGCAGACCCACCGGGGCTTTTACCGGAGCTGCCGCTGCTGTCGCCCAGGGAGCTGGAAACAACATGTTGCAAAACCTGTTTGATCTCCTCTCATTCAGATCTGAACCAGGAAGAGACCGGGTACACTTGCCAACATGTGATACAGACTTTCCGGTGCCTCTTAAAGAGACAGTTATTATCTGGACTGGTATATATTTATATTTTCAGATCAAGCACACTTCAAAGCGGAGTTCTGCAGCTCCAACCCAGACAAAGTAGTATTGTTGTCGGAGCCAAATAATTATATAAAGGTGCATGCAAATCATTTGCAAAAAGCCCCTTGCTTTAAATAACTTCAGGAGTCTGAATTACACCTGCAGGCAGTCAGGAAATCCAGTACTGTAGAGGTAGGCATGCTCTGTACCGACGGATTTGTCCCTTACCTGTACAACTTCTTTCTTTACATTGACGAGGTCTAACCAGTCATTGAATCTTGGGTAGCTGTTGAGCTCCACTGTCCTGTCATTCAGAGGCACACTCAGCTTACACAGCCGCTGTCTGTTGATGTACCGGACCAATTTCACCTGTTGGGATCCAGAAAGCGAATGGTTACAGTTGAACGCTCTTTGACTTTTTTGTTCTAGTGCAATAGGTCCCGGTCTGACAGGGGCTTGTAGGCGCTACTGGATTGCAAATAAATAAGCCACCACTAACAACTAACCAGGCACTTCTGCGAGCCAACAGTGCTAGTCCCTTACACTAAACAGCACAGCGATAACTTGGTTCCCCCTGTGGTTTCACTAGACAGGAGGGTGGCAGGAGGTTTCCATTCCTGTACAAACCTTTAAACCATCACGAAAAAAAGACAGTTGCCTATAGTGGTTAACTTCACCCAAAAATATACCACATACATAATAGGGAGTGATCCATTGCCTTCTGTCTGAAAACTGTGCATACAGCTGGTCTACACTTCCCAAGGACTGCGTGTTCCTGTTGTGGTTACCCTCATCCATTCCTTCTGTGTGGTGGTTACACCCACTTACAGCATCTGGTCCACATTTAGACTGAGTTCTGCAGGGCAGGCAGTGTCTTCCTAGAACTCTGTACAGCACCCAGCATAACAGGGACATGCTCTGGTTGGGATCTCTGGCCTCTACTTCAAGGCAAATAATTATTTAAAGAATAAAAATTAAGTGGGACTCAAAACACCAATGCTTCCAGTGCCTGACAATCTCAATTTTGCTACAAGAGTTGAGAGAACACACAAAAGGAATATTATTATTTGTGCCTTATGTTTTTCCAAACATAAAACAAAAAAAACTCAAAAGAAATTTTTCATTGTTTCTGTGTCACATATACCTAGAGGGCAGACATACGCTTCAAAAGACTTTTAAAGAAAAACACCCCAAAGCAATTTAGTCTATCTGAATTTTATTAACCAAAACAGGTCTACAGTAAAGCACAAGAATTATAGCATTCGAGGGAAGATCAGATTTATAATTAAAAGGAACAAACAAACATGCATTTCTTGTCCTCTTTAATGTCTCTTCTCAAGTTTCCACTGGAAATATTTTCTGACTACATGTCTGCATGATGTAATGCATGCATAAAAATCAGTTACAGATGAGAAAAGATTTATTAGATCATCTAATCCAGTGGTTTTCAACCTGTGGTCCCACAGACCCCCCAGGTGGCCTAGGTCTAAGATTTCCAAAGGGGGTCCGCCCTTCCATTTGAAGTTTTTTTAGGGGTCTGCAAATGAAAAAAAAAAAAGTTGAAAACCACTGATCTAATCTATTCCCAGAGAGAGGGTGTATCAAACACTTAAGGGCAAACCGACACTATGCGTCATCTTCACTGAAAGGCTGGTGTATACCTCTGACCTGTCCACTGGTTTAGAATGATATTGCCTCCTATTGACTGTCCTGAAGAAGGCATGGACATCCTAATGCTACTTTGGGGTCTCTTTGGTGACACAGGTGACTGAGTTACCAGTATTTACAGTAGCGCCTGTTATGCATGAGGAACTTTCCACACATTCAAGAAGGTGGTCTGAGGCACTCATGATCTAAAAAACAGGCAGGTAAGCAGTAATACCTAGCTCTTATAGAACACACTTTCCATCAACCAAACTCAAAGCGGTTTACAAAAGGAGCTCAGTATCATCATCCCCATTTTCCAGATGGGGAAACTGAGGCACAGTGACTTATCCCATGTCATGCAACAGGCCAGTGGCAGAGCTAGGAATAGAACCCAGGTCTCCAGACTCCCTGTCCAGTGCGCTATCCACTAAGCAACACTGCCTCAGAGGAATGGGCGAAGTGGAACATCAACAGGTGATAAAATAGAGGGGGCTCCATCCACAAGGCCTCTGGGCTCAAAGCCCTGGATTGGTTTAGTAGAACGCACAATGTGCAGTTATTGTGCACACACTGGGCGGCAGCACACTAGAAAGCCCCTCACTACTGGAACGCGACTTGCTGTACTGCATTTGTGACTATATTGCCCATTACTGCCCCTTCGGTAGGTGGCTAGAAAGCCTGTGTTTTGGGAACAGTTCTCTGAAAGACAACAACTGTGGATTTTTGCATATGTACGTGGCCAAAGCATGCGACACCGGGCTAGGAAGAGCCCGGTAAGCCATACTTGGGATGGGGCTGCAATCCCTGGCCATAAAAAAAAACCCACACACCACTCAGCTTGATATTTCAGCAATAGTCGCAATGGAAAAGCAAAGGTGGCAGTCACTCAATACTGGTATCTTTATCTGGACCTGCACGGCTGTAGCTTCCAAACTGAACCGTTTGGACATACGAGCGAATAACCGGGGAATGGGTCACTAGAAGGTGGGCGCACTCAAGACAAGTATCAGGAGATGGGAGAATCATTAGCAGGCAGAACAATAACTTTGGGTTGCAATCATTAGATTAGACAGAGATCGCACAGTCCAGTGGCTAGAATGCTGCGCTAAAATGAAGAGGTGGGTTCTAATCCCAGGTCAGCTTCTGAGTGACTTTATGCAAGTTGCTTTGCGCCCATTCCCCACTTTGTGCTTGTCTCATCTATTTAGACTATAAACTCTTTAGGACAAGGACTTTTTTAATTGTACGTGTATGGCTCCCAGCACAAGGATCATCTGAAACAATACATGAAAGATTTCAGCTAAGCTGGCAGCATTCAAGCAACAGAGCCATCTAAAGAATAAAGCTGTATTAAAATAGTAAACAGCCATTGGCAACGCACAGCAGACCTGCATTCCTGGATTATGCTTTCCTGTAAACTGCTGGTTTATTTTACCAGTAATCTGACTATGCACAGCTATCTGGTGTAAATGTGGGGTTTCACTGCCCACACACACTTCTCAGGTCAGAAAGTAGCAGCCCTGTGAAATTTTCAAGGGTTTTTTTGGGTTTTTTTTTTTTTTAAATTTCTGGTTGCAGTTTGATGCAACTGAGAGTGAGAGATCCAGACGCTGGCATGTGGTGACCCCAGAGATAGCAGTGTCAGATATGCTACTCCCCGGATAGCATGTTGTGCAAATGGGAGCTGCAGTATTCTAAAAAATAAAACCAAACAACCACAATTTTGCAAGATGACATCAGGCACAAGGGGCCCGATTTTCAGAAGAGCCAACAAGCACCCAGAACTCCAACTGGACCTAACGGAGCACTTGGAACCTTTGCAAGGAAGGTCATGACCACGGAACGGGACTTTGGAGTGCTAGACCCACTGAAAATGGCTTTTGAAACCCTGCTCTCTGCCTCAAGCCCCATTCTGTAAGACAGGGATGATAATGCCTTTCTCCCATCCTTTGTCTTGCCCTGATCCTGCAAAAGTGAACAACATGGAGTGGACCCGTGTACACATGATGCTGTGTGTAACTCAGTGAGGCGCCATGTGGACACAGGGGTCTGCTTGCGTAGGTCTCTTCCCAGGATCAGGTCATTTGATTGTAAGCTTCTGGTTGGCAAAGGCTGTGTGTTTGTACAGTGGCTGCACAATGGAGCCCCCCTCTCCGTTGTACTCTCTACCCTAACACATCTAAACAACAATGGTCCTGATACAAATGACCCAACAGTTATGTATTTCTGGGACGGACACACCCATTACTTGGCAGGAAAGCACCGGCAAAATGTTTAAATGGGCATGCTCCTGGCAAGAAGCGCAAGCCAGACATCAACTGATCCCATTATGGGACAAAACCCTGGCCGTACTGAAGTCAATGAGAGTTTTACCATTGACTTCAGTAGGACCAGAATTCCCCTATGGTTTTTAAAAGGGAGATGAATTCTGTTTAGTTCAGGCATGGTAGGCTTTCACTGCTTTGGACCGAAACAGATAAACAGGACTCAGCTAAAAAGGTGTTGGGTTGTTGGTTTTTTTTTTTAAATGGTATTACATTTTCTAGGTCTCTTTCTAGGAACATCTGAACACTTCAAATGTCCGGTGTAACATTCCAATAGTCAGGCCAACAAACCTCTGCTTTGGGTGGGTCGGCAGCACATTGGTGCATTCCCTTCCTACAACAGCCTGTCCTCTACACCATTTACAGCAGTGCCACTGGTAGACTGGCCTTACAGGGTGGGGGGGGACCTCTGTATCCAGAGTGCTTTGCAGAGGGCGTCTGAGCTAAGGTGAGCTAGGACGGCACACAGCGTGAAAGAGGAGGTTACAGGATCCATGACTGCATAAATTAGGGTTACCATACGTCCTCTTTTTCCCAGACATGTCCGGCTTTTCGGCAGTCAAACCCCCGTCCAGGGGGAATTGCCAAAAAGCCGAACATGTTCGGGAAAATGGCGGCTCTGCTCCTCCCCTGACTTTTAATAGATATGGTAACCCTAGCATAAATCCACCGATGCCAGTTCCCTATTCAGGTGTGCACAGAAGTCAGAGAGAGCCTACAGTCTGTCAAGCCACAGGAGACTTCTGAAGTCCAAAGACTTAGAAAATTAGACGTTCGAAATTAGAAAATTATTGCCAAAGAATGGTCATGCTGAGTCAAGGGAAAGGAGCCAAGTCAGCCACCACATACAGCGCTAGACGTAAAGTTCTCCAGGTCACTCATGCACACAGCTGTTCCTGACTTCAACCTTGGCTCAATGCAGAAAAGAGACAGTCATGAAGCGGTGGCCGAGTACAGTAGGCTGATTAACTTAAGGGATGACTGTATGCACTCTCCCACGCACCCCTCGGACCAAGAGAGCCTATATAAAGGGAGCTGTCCTATTTATCCCTGAGTCACACAGTCAGAAATGAGCTGTCAAAACACTCATTTTACAAATATTTGCCCACTAGTGTCTCAGTTTCAATTTTTAATTGGTTACTCGTTGGAATATTTTTTCCCTATGCCGTCATGATATGCTGCAGTTTGTCTGACTGTCTCTTCACTGAATTGTATTTGTTCTGCTTTATAAATCTTCAAAAGTACCTTTGAAGATTTATAACACACACACCAGATCCGAGCCTCACATTTTTGTATGTTATTACTGTACATGGAATAGCTGGGATATCATATTCTGGACTGAAAGCAATCCCTCCAGAATTTAGATTGCAATTGAGTTTCCACTCCCAAGTGGAGTTT